AGTCTGACAGCGAAGATCTTGAGAGTGACATCACCAGTAGCCCTGGAAATGACATCAATAGGTTTGGCAACGAAGATCTTGAGAGTGACGTCACCAGTAGGTCTTGCGAGGAAGATCTTGAGGACGACGTCAACCTCGAAGTGAAGTCTCGATTCTCACGACAAGGATTCGTCGTTTTCTTTCCTTGTATAGTTGTTGTTGTTGTTGTTTTTCTTCTTGTTTTTTCAATTATTATTTTTATTATTATAATTTGATTTTCTTTCAATATCATTTTTTTTTTCAATGTCATTATTATCATTACTATATTTCTTTCCTTGTATAGTTGTTGTTGTTGTTGTTTTTCTCTTTTTCAATTATTATTTTTATTATTATAATTTGATTTTCTTTCAATATGATTATTGTTTCTTTTATTTCAATGTCATTATTTATTATTATTATTATTATTATTATTATTATCATTATCATATTTTGATTTTTTTCAATATCATTATTATTTCTTTTATTTCAATATCATTATTATTTTTTTTCAATATCATTATTATTTCTTTTAAATAAAGAAAATGGTTTATTCTATTCGTTGTGACATATAGTGAAAAAAATGTGTATGAATTGCCGGCAAATTTCATCGTTGCAAAGTGATGATGACAACAACATGCAGGAAATTAACGGTTTTTGCGAGAGTGTCTGAAACGCGGAAAGAATATGCGAATTGTACACAATGATAATAAGGAGATAGAAATAACAGTAGTAATAATAAGAAAAACAAGAAGAAAACGAATAGCGGTCATAATGGTAATGATGATAATGATAAAAATGATAATAATAAGAAGAAGAAGAATGAGAATAAGTATGAGAATAAAAATAATAATGATTAAAACTAAAAGTAACAATTGTAACGTATTACATGTTATGCCAATATGCGTTACGTCGGCGAAAGCAACATACATTATATAAGAAAACAATGAATATTAGCGTTGCGAACAAAAGATGATATATTTAATGTAGTAATACAATAAACATTAACAGAATCATTAGATATCAGTCATTTTTAATCATAAATGTTGTTTAAGTGAACTGAAAGAGACTAATTAGATTCATAAGTTTTTTGTTATTCTGTATCATTCTTTTTTCTTTCATTTTTTCTCTCACAATAAACGAATATACGATTAAAGAAACAATGGCGACAATCTCTTTGAAAGTGAAATTGCTGGAAAGAAATTTTGAATCGTCAACCGTCATTAACGGCTATTTGGGCCTGGTGAAATTCAAATGATTTAGAAACTAAATTATTTGATGAGAGAAAGTTATCTGAAAATGTTTCATCAGAATGAATAAAGAAGCTAATTATGCAAATATTTGAATTGACATTTTGGCACAGATGAAAGTGACATCGGGTAAATGCGAATATGAAATTTATCTATCAAGATGGTAAAATATACGTATATATATATATATATATATATATATATATATATATATATATATATATATATATATATATATATTTATTATATTTATTTTATTTATTTATTTATTTTTATTTATAATTAAACTATACAATTCGTGAATACGCTGTTTTAGTAGTGAAATTAGAGTAAAAATTATGCAACAGGGTATTTGATAAAATGTAAAATATATTTTGTTATTTCATATTTTCAGTCTTTCATTTTAATTTTGATTATTTTGGCAGTGAAAAACAAGTAAAATATGACTTTATTTTTGTTATTTCATTATTATATTATCTTAATTCTAGTTTACGTATTCTAGTATCCAAAATGAAGCAAAAATCATTCAACAAGGTAACTGAAAAAAAAAAATCTTAACCTTCATCGTGAAATGATTTAGAAAAAAAAAGAAAAAAAAATACAATCTACAATTTTTTCCACTGTGGATATCCGTTACGCAACCGAACACAAACATTTTGCAAGACGAGATAACAACAGAAAGACATAAGACAGGCGAGAGTGTATGTGTGTGTTTTCCCCCCCAAGCAAACGTTTTAGGAAATCGTCAGTTTCTCGGTAACGTTTTAAGATCTCCGTTCAAGGGAAACGTTCTTCAGAAAATCGTGTTTATTGTCACGTCGCTGCACCAAATGTAATTGCGTGATGATGTGAAAAAGGGGGGGAGGGGTGAAGGAGAGAGAAGAGAGGGAAGGGAGAGAGAGAGTGAGAGAGGATGAGGAGAAAAGAGAGCGGGGGAGAGAGAGAAAGCGGAAAAGGACGGGTGTGAGCAGTGGGAGGGAGAGAGGTGATGAAGAGAAGAAAGAGATGTAAAGAGAGAGGACGAAATGGAGAGAAAGAGATAAAGAGAGAGGGGGAGGACGAGAGTGAGGAGAGAAGAGATGAGGAGGAGAGAGAAGAGAGAAGGGAGGGAGGGGGAAGACGAGAATGAGGGGATAGCATAAATAGAGGCAGATGGAATAGGGAGAGAAAGAGAGAGGGGGAAGGGAGAGGGAGTTGGAGAGACGGGGAGCAGAGAAGAGGAAAAGGGAAGATGGGAGGGAGAGTAAGAGAAAAGGGAGGAGAGGGAGATGGAGAGAAGGAATGGGAGAGAAAGAGAGAGAGAATGAAAGATAGAAAAGAGAAGAAGGGTTAAGCGGACCGTCCCTGAAAATGGTCACCTTTCCCTACTCTACATCATAAAAAAAATATCGGTTAGAGGTAACTGATTGACTCTTTTTGCATGCTATAGAGTAAGAATTGCGCTCCGTTATATATATAAATTTTAACTTTGCTCCCCCATTGGATGGGGGGGCACCCCCAAAAAAGTCGAAAAAAATCGTTTTTTTTTTTTTTTTTTTTTTTGGTATGTCTACGGTACATCCCAACTATCAGAGCTCTTTACAGAATATTCCCCCAAAAATACTAGTGTTAGATCAACTCTAGCCTATAGCCATGTAAAAGGCCGAATTTTGATTTTTTTTTTTTTTTTTTTTTTTTTTTTTTTTTTTGCGGGGGACAGCTTGACATAGAGAATTATTTTTGATTTGTTTTTTTAGCATTAAAATAGTATTATTTTTGGATTAAGGCAAAAATTCAAAAATCGGCCTTTTACATGGCCATGGGACGCCGAGGCTCTAGTGAAAGCAACAAACTGCATTTGGATCGCATGAAAATTACGTGAGCTACGGCGTTTTGTATTTGGCACCTTGCCAAAGTTCGTTATCTCTGTTATTTTTCTCTGAATCTTATGATATTATATATATATAAAAATGCTTATTTAGTGTACTTTGCAATGCAATGATTACCAAGTCAATAGGAATTTTCATGTTCAATAGGGACGCTATTCTGTAAAGGTATGTTTTTTTTTCGTTCATAAAAGTTGATATTTTCGTGTGAAAAGCTTAATAAATGCATTTTACCATAGAGACAACTAATCTAAACCAGATAAAAACCTTTTTTTTCCTTTTTTTTTTTTTTTTTTTTTTTTTTTTTTTTTTTTTTTGTAGAAATGGGGAACTGTGGATGGCAACATTAGTACAAAATCATTCTAATTATAAAGTCCTGGCATGAATACAACATGGTGGTTCAATTTTGAGAATTTCAAAAGCATATGAATTTAGTACATTGAATTCGAGAACTTATGCCTCACACAGGGGGGGGGGGAGATGGTCACTGGGTGTTTATAATTTTCGAGGAGGATCATATGTACGTGAACGCACGCACATAAAGTTAAAAAGATTAATCATCATAATTTAGTAGGCCTACATTGACTTTCATATCTAAATAATAAAATATATTAGTTATCCCTCTCATACCATTTTCTTTGATAATTGTCAATATTAACAGATTGCAAAGGAGAACAAGTGTATAGTTTATGATTAGCCATTTGCACTCATTATCTTTACTAAGAAGTGCATAAAATCATGCAGACGCCTAGGTGTTTTGGGATATTGTCCAATTTATGGTGCCTAAGACTTAAGGTAACGTCTAAACATATTTATTTTTATCGAAACGGATGCGATAGCTTTTTGAACGCCAGACGAAGACTACGCATACAACCGAGCTCAAAATTCCATATAGTTTTTATTTCAGAGCAGGTATTACTGAGTACTATCATCTTCAACATGAAATAATCTGTATCTCGCTTATACATCCGAAGTTTAAAAATCTAACATTTAGGTAACATTCATATTGAATTGGTCTTTACAACGGTAACTACCAATTTCAAATCAATTCAAATTGCCCCCTGCTGTGATGTACCGACCGTTGAGCGAAATGTAACGGAAATATTTCAATCCTTCCTTATAAGGCTATTTTTAAACATTAGTGCTTCGTATGTGATATACGTATATATTACCACGTAAACTAAAACATATTACCAGGGAGTCTCGATCAAAGCATATTTCGTGTGTAAAAGGACACAAAACATACTTCTTTTTTTTTAGATACATTTCACAAAATATTTCGTCATAAATCACGGTGATATCATATTTTCCTGATATTGGTATAAAAGTGTTCCTTGAACATTCACGAACTCATATCTATGCACAATGTCATAATTAAATGCCTTATGCACCATTGCCGCAAGCAAAAGTCCACATAGGTGTACCTGGGCGCTCAATAGCGACGTACCTCTCCGGGTGCTGAGGGACTCGCGCGCCGGCTGCAAGACGAGCCATAACAGGCGGTTAATACTCGTTCGGTAGTTTCCTCATCCATGTACCTATACTATACGCTAACTATCTTAATTTAACCACCTCCCCCCCCCCCTCTCTCTCTCTCAGGGGCGGTCCCCTTAAGATAATCGGGAAAAAAGAGAGAAATGAAGGAAGGAGAGAGACAGACAGAAACAGAGACAGGCAAATACAGACAGAAATAAAAACAACAGAAACAGTGATACATATAGACAAACAGAAAGAAAAGGAGAGACAGAGACAGACAGGAAGAGAAAAAAGATACAGATAGAGAGAAGATAGATTTACGTACCTATTTCCCTCTTGTCTTATCGACCTTCTATCGCGGACGTTCTGTAAACCCCTTTTAACGAACCACTTCCTATGCCGGCCATGACACCTGGCCATTCCGTCGTGGTTTGCTTGTGGGTATTTGGGTATGTGGGTTCCCATTTGTTCGTGTTCTGATTGTGGGTATTTGGGTATGTGGGTTCCCATATGTTTGTGCCCATATTGTGTTCTGATTGTGGGTATTTGGGTATGTGGGTTCCCATTTGTTCGCGTTCTGATTGTGGGTATTTGGGTATGTGGGTTCCCATTTGTTCGCGTTCTGATTGTGGGTATGTGGGTTCCCATTTGTTCGCGTTCTGATTGTGGGTATTATGGGGGGTCCCCATTTGTTCGTGTTCTGATTGTGGGTATGCGGGTATGTGGGTTCCCATTTGTTCGTGTTCTGATTGTGGATTTGGTATGTGGGTCCCATATGTTCGTGTTCTGATTGTGGGTATGTGGGTTCCAATTTGTTGTGTTCTGATTGTGGGTATTTGGTATGTGGCTTCCCGTTCTGCGGTTCGCGTTCTGATTGTGGATTTGGTATGTGGGTTTGTTCCTGATTGGGTATGCCCATTTGCGTTCTGATTGTGGGTATTTGGGTATGTGGGTTCCCATTTGTTCGTGTTCTGATTGTGGGTATGCGGGTATGTGGGTTCCCATTTGTTCGTGTTCTGATTGTGGGTATGTGGGTTCCCATTTGTTCGTGTTCTGATTGTGGGTATTTGGGTATGGCCCATTTGTTCGGTTCTGATTTCTTCCATTTGTTTCTGATCCCATTTGTTCGTGTTCTGATTGGGTATTTGGGTATTTGATTTGTTCGCGTTCTGATTGTGGGTATTCCCATTTGTTCGCGTTCTGATTGTGGTATCGGTATGTGGGTTCCCATTTGTTCGTGTTCTATTTGTGGTATTGGGGTATGTGGTTCCATTTGTTCGCGTTCTGATTGGGTATGTGGTTCCCATTTGTTCGTGTATTTGTGGGTTCCCATTTGTTCGTGTTCTGATTGTGGGTATTTGGGTATGTGGGTTCCCATTTGTTCGCGTTCTGATTGTGGGTATTTGGGTATGTGGGTTCCCATTTGTTCGTGTTCTGATTGTGGGTATTTGGGTATGTGGGTTCCCATTTGTTCGTTTCTGATTGTGGTATTTGTATGTGGTTCCCATGTTCGGTTGATTGTGGGGTATGTGGTTCCATTTGTTCGCGTTCTGATTGTGGGTATGCGGTGTGGTATTGTGGGTTTCCCATTTGTTCGGTTGATTATGCGGTATGTGGTATTTGTGGGTGGTATGCGGGTATGTGGGTTCCCATTTGTTCGTGTTCTGATTCCCATTTGGGTATTGTGGCCCATTTGTTCGTGTTCTGATTGTGGGTATTTGGGTATGTGGTTCCCATTTGTTCGGTTCTGATGTGGTATGGGGTATGTGGTTCCATTTGTTCGTGTTCTGATTGTGGTATTTGGTATGTGGTTCCATTTGTTCGTTTCTGATTGTTGTTTGGGTATGTGTTCCCATTTGTTCGATTGTGGGTATGTGGGTATGTGGGTTCCCATTTGTTCGTGTTCTGATTGTGGGTATTTGGGTATGTGGGTTCCCATTTGTTCGTGTTCTGATTGTGGTATTTGGGTATGGGTTCGTATGTGGGTATTTGGGTATGTGGGTTCCCATTTGTTCGCGTTCTGATTGTGGGTATTTGGGTATGTGGGTTCCCATTTGTTCGTGTTCTGATTGTGGGTATGTGGGTTCCCATTTGTTCGTGTTCTGATTGTGGGTATTTGGGTATGTGGGTTCCCATTTGTTCGTTTCTGATGTGGGTATCTGATGTGGGATTGTGGGTATTTGGGTATGTGGGTTCCCATTTGTTCGTGTTCTGATTGTGGGTATGGGTATGTGGGTTCCCATTTGTTCGTGTTCATTATGTGGGTTCCCATTTGTTGTTTCTGATTGTGGGTATTTGGGTATGTGGGTTCCCATTTGTTCGTGTGGGTCTGATTGTGGTATTGCGGGTATGTGGGTTCCCATTTGTTCGTGTTCTGATTGTGGGTATGCGGGTATGTGGGTTCCCATTTGTTCGTGTTCTGATTGTGGGTATGTGGGTTCCCATTTGTTCGTGTTCTGATTGTGGGTATTGGGGTATGTGGGTTCCCATTTGTTCGTGTTCTGATTGTGGGTATTTGGGTATGTGGGTTCCCATTTGTTCGCATTGTGGGTCTGATTGTGGTATTGTGGTTATGTGTTTCCCATTTGTTCGTGTCGATTGTGGTTGTGGGTATGTGGTTCCCATTGTTCGTTCTGATTTGGGGGTATGTGGGTTCCATTTTTCGGTTCTGATGGGTATTGGGTATGTGGGTTCCATTTGTTGTTTCTGATTGTGGTATGGGGTATGTGGTTCCCATTGTGGATTGTGGGTATGTATTGTGTTCCCTTTGTTCGCGTTCTGATTGTGGGTATGTGGGTTGGGTATTTGTTCGGGTTCTGTTTTGATTGTGGTATTGTTGTGGGTTCCCATTTTTCGCTTCTGATTGTGGGTTGGGGTATGTGGGTTCCCATTTGTTCGCGTTCCCCATTTGTTGTTGTTTTGTGTGGTATGTGGGTTCCATTTGTTCGCGGTTTGGGTATGTGGGTTCCCATTTGTGCGTTTTGATATGTGGTATGTTTATTGCCCATTTTGTCTGTGTGTTTTTATTTGGTATGTGGCCCATTTGTTCTGTTTCTGTGGGGGTATGTGGGTATTTTATGTGGGTTCCATTTGTTCGCGTGGGTATGCGGGTATTGTTCCCGATTTTTGATTTCGAATATGGGGTATGTGGCTTCCCATTTTTTCGTCCTATTTGCGGTCGGTCTTTTGGAATGTGGGTATGTGGCTTCCCACGGGTATGTGGCTTCCCCGATTTTAGTTCTTGTGTTTTGAATGTGGGTATGCGGGTATGTGGGTTCCCGATTTTGTGTGTGTGTGTGTTTTGAATGTGGGTATGTGGCTTCCCCGATTTTTTCTTGTTTGAATGTGGGTATGCGGGTATGTGGCTTCCCCGATTTTAGTTCTTGTGTTCGGTATGCGGGTATGTGAGTTCCCGATTTTTCTATTTCGTCCTTTTTTGCTCACGGGTGTTTGGGCATGAGGGTATGTGGCTTCCCATTTCCTGTTTGTTTTCTCTAGAACTGGATGTTCGTTAATTGTGTTACTTGTTACGCGTAGGGAAAAAATAGATAAAAGAAGAAAAAAAATCTAAGGAAAAAATGTAATAGACGCATCTCGATTTTCTTTTTTTTTTTTTTTTTTTTTGAATAGTGTAATTACATTGAATACGTAATTGACGTTTTTTTTTTCTTCTTCTTCTTCTTCTTTTTCTTCTTTTTTTTCTTTTTTTTATCTCGTAATTTCGTGTAATCGTGTCAATTCGAGGAATATGGAACATCGTCAGTTAACATTCCTTGACGTTATTTGTTCTCGTTATTATTTCATTTTTCACGGACTTCCCCAGCAGTCGAGGGGGGGGGGACGTTATAGGACCGTATATCAAGCCATCGAATCTCGTGATAGGATCTTCCACTGGACTTCCTATTAGTCTAAGAAATAGGCGTTTATAGGATCACGGAAGACACCTTCTAGTCTTCTAATCTTTTAATCTTTTAATCTTTTATTCTTTAATCTTAATTTGATAGGATCGAACCTCCTATTAGACTTGCCGTCAATACGTTATAGGATCGTATTGAAGGCTTTTTAGATTCCTATCTATAGGGAAAGGCATTATAGGATCGGTAAAGAAAGGTCTTTTAGCTTCCTATCTGAAAGACAAGGTGTTATATGACCGTAAAAAAATGCCTTTTAGTTTCCTATTATCTAAAGGAAAAAGTGTTATATGACCGTAAAAAAACAGGTAAGCATGCGTTATAGGATCGTATAAAAGTCCTTTTAACTTCAGATCGCCCATATCACAGGATCATGTAAAGGCCTTTCGACATCAACATCCGTACGACCTCTCACCTATAAAGGCATTATAGGATCCCAGGACCCACGGACCTCTCGCACCACCAGACGAAATGCGTTATAGGATCGTATAAAAGTCCTTTTAACTTCAGATCCCCCAAAGGAAAAGGGATATCACAGGATCATGTAAAAGGCCTTTCGACATCAACATCCGCCCGACCCTACGACCTCTCACCTATAAAGGCATTATAGGATCCCAGGACCCACGGGACCTCTCGCACCAGCCAGACGAAATGGCGTTATAGGATCGTATAAAAGTCCTTTTAACTTCAGATCCCCCAAAGGAAAAGGGATATCACAGGATCATGTAAAAGGCCTTTCGACAGGACCTCTCGCACCAGCCCTACGGCCTCGCCGACGAAATGGCGTTATAGGATCGTCAGATCCCTGCACCTCGTGATGCCCGCCCTTTGCAAGATCCGCGCGAAAGATGCCCTTCAGAATCAGTTGCTGGGGCGGGGATCTGCAACTCTGGCTTCAGCGAAGGTCAATCAGGGACTGAGGTCTGGCGCGTGGCAAGCGTGCTGAGGTTCCCCAAGGCTAACTAACCTTGCTTTACACACATGATCCCTTGTTCGCTTTTGTGCTTGCAAGACGAAAAAGAAATTTGGGAAAATTTAAAAAGTCTGAATTGTAAATCGATTATTTGAAATTAAATCGAGTGATTTTTTTTTAATAATAAAAGGAGGCAGAAAGCATAGGGTGTCGATGGAATCACGTGACTTGGCGGTGAACAGGGATCACGGGCTTAAAAGATTTTCTCGTTATTCCTTGCTTTAGTTTCAACGAAAAACCATTGAACAAAGATCACCGAACAGTCGTTTTTTGGTATCGTATTATCACTTATCTGTCTACATTTAGTTCTATTTTATCCATGTGCTTGTTTTTTACCCTATCAAAATTGTAAACTCCATTAAAAAGAAAAAGAAAAATCATAAAGCACGCGTTCCCGCAGTCTCTTATTTACTACGAAATTGCAAAATGTTTGTACCGCGTCTGTTTAGCCGCAGCCAGTCAACACACGGCTTTTGAACTTAGAGAAAAAAGATAACAAATACTGTTCATAAATCCTAATACGGAGAGATCGCCAAGTTATGTCGACGGCGATGTCACAGCGATAAGACACATTAAACTATTAAACCATCATGGAGTTCGCATAAATTTACAAACATTCTTCCAACCGTGTCCCTCTCTTGTGAAAATGTCTCTCCTTTCTTCTTTTCTTATTATTTCTTCTTTCTTCTCTCTATTTCTCTTCGTTGTTGCTGTATCATTTTATCATTAGCACGCCTAGCTGATGTGGTCTTTCCGGACATATAAACTTTTTTTTTCTAATCCAAATTTTCTTTTAATCATCAAAACATAACAAGATCTTTCGTGATATGCAGTTTTGCTATTTTTGTTAATTTTAGCTATTCATTTATCATCTTATATCCCTACATTATATTAGAGCCTTACCTCTATCTTTTATAACAAGTAACAAAATCTATAATCACATGAATCTTCCATTTATTTATCTATAAATTTCCCATCAAAGATCTCATTAAGTTTCCTTGATAATCTTTAGTCTAACTACGACTACCAGACCGATGCGTTTAAAAATAAATATCAATAAATTAAAAATATAACTTATGACATCATACACTTTCATAGCTTTATTCGCCAATTTATCAGTCGCATCAAAGATTTTTATCCATCTCGTCTCAGCGTTGACCTAGCTGCTAAAAGTCTCCCATGATGTAAACATCTTTATTTTCCTATCTTGTCGATTCTTTTATCCTTTTATCAAAGATCTTGTCTGTTACAAAAGACTATAAACTTTACAAGTATAATGAGCCCGACCTGATAGATAATATTCATCTGCTTTGTTAATGACAACTTATCTATTTCTTCTCTCTGTCTCTCTTTCTCTCTCTCTCTCTCTCTCTCTCTCTCTCTCTCTCTCTCTCTCTCTCTCTCTCTCTCTCTCTCTCTCTCTCTCTCTCTTCTCTCTCTCTCTCTCTCTCTCTCCTCCCTCCCTCTCCCTCCCTCCCTCCCTCCCTCCCTCCTCCTTCTTCCTCCCTCTCCCTCTCTCTATCTATCTATCTATCTATTTATCTCCCTCTCCCTCTCTCTCTCTAGGTTACATCAAAGATCACCTCATCATCCCACCTATTTCTCCCTCAAAACCCAATCTCGCATGAACACTCGAGCCCCAACCAAGCCCCGGAGACAGTCACGTGTGCGCGGATAGAACTCTTCCGCGTGGGTAAGAGGCTAAAGCAAGGTCCGCGGAAGTCTCTCTCCGTGTGTGTCTCTCGGCCGCCAGAGCGCAGCACCCTCCCCGCCGATGATCAAGCCGAGACTAGTTAGCGCGTCGCCTTGAAGAGTTTTAAATAGGATCTGAAGGTCGGTTAGACATCAAGGAAGAGGTCGGCCTCCCGGTGAAGCGATCTGTGCAAAGATAGTGTTTATGTTTTCTTGATATTTTGTTTATTATTTTTCTGTTGATTTTGTTGTTATTTGTTGTTATTTGTTGGATAGGAGGGGATTATTTTGATTTTTTTTCATGTGGGAAGGTCGTTTTTTCTTCTCTCTCTCTCGTCCCTTCTTCTCTCTTCTCTCTCATCTCTCTCTCTCCTCGTCTCTTCCTATCTCCTCTCTCTGCTCTCCTTCTCTCTCTCTCTCTCTTCCTTCTCCTCCTTTCTCTCTCTTTCTCCTTCTTCTTTCTCTCTCTCTCTCTCTTCTCTCTCTCTCTCTCTCTCTCTCTCTCTCTCTCTCTCTCTCTCGTCACTCTCTACTCTCTTCTCTCTCCCTCTCTCTCTCTTCTCTTCTCTCCTCGCTCTCTCTCCCTCTCCCCTCTCTCTCCTCTCTCTCTCTCCCTCTCTCTCTCGGTTCTCTCTCTATCTCATCTCTTTCTCTCTCTCTCTCTCTATCTTTTTGTATGTGGAGATTAATATGGCTTTTTGGAGCGGGGATTAATATATCATTTTTATGTTTGTTTGTTTTTTTTATTAAGTAGGATTTTCTTTTTTTCTGTCTTAGGATTTTTAGTGGGGATTATGGTGCTCCTTCTGGGATAATATCTTTTTTTTTTTTTTTTTTTTTTTTTGTTTAATGAAATTTAATAAAAAATATAAAATTTGTTGTGATGTATTTTTTTGTAAGTTTTATAAATTTGAACAGTACCTAGGTCATGTTTTTTTTATTATTTCAGTAGCAGTAGTATATAGTAGTGAATTATGGTATCTCTCTTAATATTACCAGTTATCCATATCATTATTTGTATCAGTATTATGGAATATTTTTTCATTATTGTTATCATTTATTATAATCAATCATTATTATTATTACTGTTGTCATTTACAATTAAATTATTATTTATCATTATGATCTTGATTATCAATTACTATTATATCATTTTTTCTA